CACAATATTTCGATATACTGTCTTGTATATCTTTTATTTTTTCTTACAAGATTCTAACATTTGTATATTGCTGAAAATTTGAGGCCAATATTTTCTAAAAGAGTTCTTGAAAGTTCCACAAAACGTGTAACTGTGTCATTACGTCAAATTGTTCTTGTCCTGGAAAACGTTTTTGTTTTCTGGAATAGTTTGCACGTATCAGATTGCAGTAGTTTTGGCCATGTTATTCTGTGAGATGCGATTTGTTCTGAAGAAGTATAGGTGTTGGTTCTACTAACGTATTTTTGCTCTCCAGAAGTTTGTCTATTTATTCTTTAACATATAAAAGTTGTGACATCAATAGCCTTCTGCGATGTTTTCAATTGTTCAACATATTTGTAATTATGCATTTAACTACCACCATGGATTGTTAATTTCTGTGATGTTCCTTTGCCTTAAAGAAGCATTAAATGTCCATTTACAACTGCAGTTTTTTTGTTTTGTGGAAACTGTTTTTGTAATGTTCTTTTGGAATATTTCTATTTGCTAGGATAACGTTTGGCTGTGTTCTTCTGCAATACTTTTTCATTATCATCTTAAATAATCGATGTATGTATGTGTTTTTTATTATTTGTTTTGCTACTAAAAACTATGCCAGTTATATTTTTCTAAAATCTACTTCTATTGTCTAAAAGAAGTTTTGATTGTAGAGTTCTGTAATGGTTTCCTTTTAATATTCTGCAGAAGTTCCTGTTCTTTCTTTTTTTGATAGATTTATAAAAAAATACTTTGATATTCAATAACGAATTTCTATCTTACAGAATTTTTATTACATTTTAAATTCACACTATACTGTCAATGTTACGCATCTTCTGTATTACCTGCAGAAGCTTAACTACGCTATTCTAGAATCTTCTATAACACTTACTTCTGATATACAGAACTGACGAAACGTTTTCGAAATAAAAGATGATTTATCCTTTTTCATAACGGAAAAATAAAATTACTTTTGTACAGTATGGATGTGTTAATGCTCTACTACTTATAACACAATATTTTATATGGAAAATATAGAGTAATGTATATCTAGAGGACTTTTTTTAGTAACACAAGTATATTTTTTGATTTTTGATTGTCAATTTCACGGATAAGCGTGTTTGAAAGCCCTTCCAAAACGAACCCGGATGAAAGATACGCTATTTAGAAACATAACGGCACGCTTCAATACGTTTGGAAAATTAGATGTGTGTGTGTGTTAAAGATTACTTAATTTTCCTCCTACTGTGAAATTACAAAGTTTTCTTTTTTAATCATGGTTTATGTCTTTACTTTAGGTAGTAATTGGAAAAACACACATACACACACAGATATACATATATATATAATGAAATGATTCAGTAAAATCTAATTATTTTCAACCATTTTCTACTTTGTTGTTTCATGATAAAAATTAAAAACTTGGACCTATCTCGAAATAATAATTTATAACTTTTAGTTCTTAAGTGTATAAAAGTTGTATTATCTGTACTTTCTAAATAAGAAAGAAATAAGATAATAGGATTACTAAAATTGACTATTATCAAGTCTTCGTATATCTGCAATAATGAAAGAATTAGCACAAAGAATCACGAAAAATTAGGTAGATTTCAAAACAACAACAACAACAACAACGAGAAACAAAAACGCTCTCGAATAACTGACTGTTCTTCCTGAAAAATAATATTTTAACATTTTTCAAAATGGTTTAGAAACACCAAGTTTCGACATGAATCAAATTACTACGAATAATCATTACAAGACTTTTGTTCAAACCGTATGTACTTATCCGAAAAATATTGAATTGTTTTTTTAACATTTCTGACCACTACTTCACGTGAAAGCTTGCGACGATGTAATAACTTTTAAATTTACATAATAGAGTGGTAAACGAAATACTCTTTCTTGAAACATCATACACTCACGTAATTTAAATTTCCTCTCAATTTTTCGTATTGTAACTCAGCAACGTTATGATGCTTCTTAAAAGAGATTTAGAAAAACAAACATAACAACGAGATAAGTATTTCAGTTAATGTTTGATGGCGAATATGACATAGATTGTCACGAATAGAACAAGCTCTTATTTTCAACGCTAGATTGCAATGGCAATCTAACCACACACACACACACACACACACACATATATATATATATGACTATCAGTTCACCAACATGTTCAGCGTAGTTTTCCTCTTTACACATTGCATCTAAAGAAGGAAAATTTTCTTGAATCTAACCACACACACACACACACACACATATATATATATATATATGACTATCAGTTCAACAACCAGTTTAGCGTAGTTTTCCTCTTTACACATTGCATCTAAAGAAGGAAAATTGTCTTGAAAAGTACGAGAACCTCTTCACCACTTCAACTTCTTCTAGATACATTTCAGACACTTTATGGCGTAAGTAAAATACCAGGGGCAGTATGTCTTACTGTCCAGATTGTCGTTTCTAGTGATGAAACGTCAATGATCATCACAGTTTGAAATCAAGCACAGAAACTTCGTCCATAACACATGCGTCACTTGACAGATGCATATTCAGCAAGAACCATTTAATTCTGACAAGGACATTTCTAGCATCTAATTGAATCTATCAATCAAAATAACGTGTTGTTGCTAAATACAGTCTGAATCAAAAAGAGAGGCTAAATGTGTCTGCTTTATTTCTGATTCTGTTTATAAGTTGTTGTTTTTTTTAAATTCACTGATTACATAGTTTTTTTATTTAGCATTGATGATGCAATAAAATATGTAATGGTTAGCCAGCAGCATTCACACAAAATAATCTTTAAATAAATAAAAAAAACACTAGTATTCAGATTGTTTTAGATTATAAAAAATAACCAAGAGATATTGACACAGTGGTTTGCATCTTATATAAACACGCTTTCACATCACTGACATAACAGTATAACCTTATATTTTGTCATGAAACACGTGTTTAATAAAGAAGTATTAGGTCTTACACTTTCAGTCACACAAAAATTCCTATTCTTAGTCCTAAATGCGTTGAATAACATATTATTCTCACCTGTTTTGATGAAGCATGTACGAGAGTAGAACCTTAATATCTAAATTGTCTTTGAAAGCACAAGTTCATTGACACATTGTTATCCGCTCTGTTGACAATTGTATAAAATACATCTCAAAGTCTTGTATCTCCCATCGATGTCCAGTGACGCATTCTTAATTTCAAGATAATTTGATAAACACGTGTCTAATGATCCAAATTTAATTCTTGAAAATTAATTCTTAATATTCACATATTCTAAAAAAAAAAACAAAAAAAAACGCGTGACTAATTACGCATTCTTAATGCATACATTTTCTAATAAGTACATGTTAAATGTCGGAGGATTAATCTATATTCTTCCTTTTAAGAGACTTTTCGTAATGTAACCACAGTACTTAGGTTTATTGTTAAATGTACGTCTGATGTTGCATTCAAAGGCCGCACACTTTCCTATAAACATGTGTCAGAAGATGCTATCTCAAGCCCTGAAGAAAAACTAAGTTTTAGATTCATTAGTAGTACACCTTGGAGAGTAAATCACTTTGGTATGACAGGCGCCCCGCCCACAAGGAGTAGGACAAAGCCCCAGATATTAGAAACTGGCGCCCTCAGGTGAGCTTAACCACACTGATGCCGTAATATCTGGTTGATCTCAAGATTTCACATATATTTACAGATCCTAGTTGATGATATCGGAACAGAAGAATGAGCAAAAACGGACGACTTGATATCTAAAGGAAACACAATATGCGAAACTAAACGCTTGGTATAAGAAGAATTTTTGCCAAGTATTAAAACAACTTAGAAAAGAATATCTAAAAAGATTAACATTCTATGAGGAAATCAGTCATACCAAATTAAATATAACTGATGAAGACGAATATGAGGAGTTGGAAGCAGTTCAAGCAGCTGTGAAAAAGAGAAAAAACTTGCTGAATCTTTTGCTGAAGCAAAAAAAAAATCAATTAATTAATAATGGCATACTTATTAATAAATAAATAAAATAAGAGTACAAATACTCATGAATAGCTCAAAATATATCAAATTAAATATGTGCATTCCATTAGCAATTCACAAGAAAACAACGCAAAGTCTCGTTTGTTGTAGCTACTCAATAAGCTACTTGTCATCTTGTCCGCCTCGTGTAATGAAACTCGAATTTTTGTATAAGTCGGTAAACTTCCCGCTGACACATAGTGGGACCAAAATTCTCGTAAACTCCACTGTGTATTTCTGCCGTGAACTTACGTTAAAAACAAAAGTTGGATAATCATACCAAAGGACGGTATTGAAACTTAGCGTTATGGATTTAAACTAAACTAGTCCAACAGTCATGGAGGAAGTCTTTCCAGATCAATAGTACTTTTTATCCAATGATTCAGGTCAGACTTTTTCATGAGTTAGAATTTGTTCTGTTGACCGAGGGAATGGTAATAAAATGATCAAACATGTCTGATCGTGTTTTAGTAAAAAAAAAAGAAAAAAAAGCGACTTAGGACTGTCCTAGCAACATTAATGAAATATTAATAACTTAAATGATTATTTTATGTTTATTAACATGAATAAGATGATTCAACGTGATCTTTGGGCAAAGTATTATTAATAATAATTATCAACATACATTATGAATAAAGTCACATATCATTGTCTGAGAGTAATTAATTAATTATTATAAACAAGGATTATATATGACGTCATCCAGTTTGACTACTCCAATCAGAGTTGGCATTGTTTAAGCCTTGGAGTTTGTCACGCCCTAGTAGGCGGGACACCTGTCACTCAAAATAAACCTACCCTCCTAGATTAACTATTTCCATTGTCAGAAATCTCGACATCTTTTGGTAGCAAACTTTCTTGGATAAGATGTCGTCACTTAGTCATCAATAGCTGATTTTCTTCCGGTGTTGAACAGATGATGATCTTTGTTGTAATTTATTGTAGTATTTTGATTCAAATTATTTACCAGAAAAAAGTTGTTGCTGCAAAAAACACAACATCGAATGGTTAAAACAGTACAAGATAAGCCATGTAGTATTACTGTTGCAAATACTTCAGTTAAAACATAACGATCAAATGATTTTAAATAATGAGTATAACTAACTCACTTCACGGACTTTTAGTACTTTTAATTACATTTCGATAGTTCGATTATCATTAGACTTGTTATAGAATATTTTTCCTTCAGGGGTTTTTTTTTTGACAACCTTTTGATTAGAATTTTTGTAAAGACTTGGCATGTGTTTGAAATGCTCAACCCCTACAGAGTAAACTGGTTTCATGTGGTAACACTCGTCATCAATAATTTTGGGTTAGGCCTAGACCTAGCTTTATCTAAGCTAGTGAACTGACTCAGTGTTTATATAGTTTTTCATGTCGGTTCTTACCATTGTACCCTCCTATATAGCAGGAGTATGATACAATAAAATGTATTAAACAAATAAACCTTTCTGATTCTCATGTGCTATTAAAGATACTAATTCACAGCAGACAAATTTCCTGCACCCTAAACCTCAGCAGCTCATCGCTGTTGGACTTGTTTTGTTTGTTGTTAAGCGCAAGTCTACATAATGGGTTATCTGTGCTGAGCCCACCAAGAGATCCAAAAGTCGGGTTTTAACGTTATAAGCCGACAAACTTACCGTTGAGCCACTGGGGGGAGCATCTGGACACTATATTTATGATTTAGTTAGGCCTAGCCACTAGTGTGAGGCCCAATTCCTCAATTTTGTTTATTTTGTTTGTTTTTAAGCATAACGTTACAAATAGGATGACTATTTATGCTCTGCCCAGCGTAGATAACAAAACCCGATCAGACTTATCGCTGAGCCTCTCAAAAATGAACGATCTATTCACGATTTGGAAAGTTTGTTTTGTTTTTGAATTTCGCGCAAAGCTACACGAGGGCTATTTGCACTAGCCATCCCTAATTTAGCAGTGTAAGACTAGAGGGAAGGCAGCTAGTCATCACCACCCACCGCCAACTCTTGGGCTACTCTTTTACCAACGAATAGTTGGATTGACCGTCACTTTATAACGCCCCCACGGTTGAAAGGGCGACGTTTGGAAAGAGTTCTTAAAAAGTAACATTCGGTAAGAACGCATCTTAGGTAGTGAGAGGATAACTGCTTGAGCCTTATGCTTTACAAGCAATACACAAGTTATTGTGTAGATTATATCTAAGTGTGAGATATTAGTTATCATGATTTTTTTCTAAATTATATTTTTTGAACTGCACTGGTTTTTGAAGACGTGTTGTTTAGTTTCTTATTGACTGCTAAATAACTTAATATAATTATACGCAATTTTAACAAATCGAGTTTGGATTCCTTTATCTAAAGCTAAAGTACAGAATATGAGTTACATATATTACGGAATAATAAAAAAGAATCAATGCCTACCACGCCAGAGCCGATTTGCTGAAGTAGGCTAGGGGATTGGTTGGAGGATGAGGAGGTGCTGCCACCTATACTGTTATATAAAGCTGCAGCTGAATACCGTCTAGCTGCTTCTCGACCTCTACTGTAAAAATCAGTTGGACCCGACTAACGAAAGAAAAGGGTAAAATACCAATATTATAGATCCAGATATAACATCATTAATGAATGACTTACTTTGATCAAAGCAAACGCATCTTGAAATTAGATTATTTGACAAGTATGAGTCAAAACCCTTTCAAAAACAGTTTGTGAGTGTTAAGCAGTGAAATACCTCATATGACATTACAAACTCATAAAGTTATAAAGCATTCAAACATATTTAGGTATTATAAAACGCCCTTAAGTTTTCATCTGGTTTTCAAACAGCACAATTTCACACGACATTTGAACACTCAGCTTGGTGCAGTTAGAGATTAACACAGTGACAATTATCTCCTTTGATGACAAAATAACGTGACCGTGTAATATTAAAACTACATGAATGATAACTTATGAATATCATCTATAGTTTACATAAAATAAAATATTAATATCATTTTTCTCAACAAAGAACATTCTCCATGAGCTAAATTAAGTACATAGAAGATTCCAATAGAGAAGGTTCAAGTCCTGAAAACAGTAAATGTATCTGACATGAAACATAATAGCTATGTCCATTAGCTCTCTGGGATATTACAAGTGAGTAACATTAATCAGGACTTCTGTAAAATTTGTTGGCCAACAGGTTGATATGTAACATTACCTTCAAAGTAGAAAAGTGATATCGTGTATCATGGGGATTAACACTTGAATGCCGTCTCATCTGTAAACCTGGGGCGGTTGCACCAGTGGGATTGGGACTATCCGGACTGCAAGGTGCTATCATGATTCTCGGAGGTTGAATTGTATTGTCCGAGTGACGTCTTCCAGGGAGGTTGGCCTGAACGCGCAGCAAATTAGAATCTGGCGAGGACGAGGCTATGAAACAGGAAATACACTATGTGATCTTAATTGACTCAATCGCTATACTAACGGGAATATATATATATATATATTTGAATATAACAATTATGTAAGCAAACAAAATGATTAAAAATGCCAATATGATGCACAACCCTTTATTCTTCCCAATACACCACCACAAACAATAAAAACATTAAACAATTACCTGAACATGCCCTCCTTCCTACGTCATCCATACTTATTGATGTTCGACGGGACTCCAGACGTAAAGCAGGAGGACGATGAGGATAACCAGTCATTTGATCCATTGTGTTGGGTATTGTTAACCTAAAACACAACGTAGGGTTTTTTATCGTGCTCTATGCTTATGATGTTTTTTTTTAAATATAATGCTATAAGTATTATAAGCCTACAGATTTACCGCTGAGTAACTGGAGAATTGATCAAATAATAGCAATAAATGAGTTTCAATTTTATTACTTCAGAACTTTCGAATAGTAACTTTAGTTTAATACTGATCAAATCTAATACTGATCAAACAATAACACTCAATCAGTTTCGATTTGATTACTTGAGAACTTTCGAATAGTGACTTTAGTATAATATTGATTAAACAATAACACCCAATCAATTTCAATTTGATTGCTTCGGAACTCTCGAATTGTAAGGAGTTTTCTGTTGGTTTCCTGGTTTTTATGTTAAGGGCACATAAAGTTTAGTTTCTTTAAAAGAATAACACTTACTTCTCTGTTGATGGCAATGATAATTTTTCGAGTTTTAGTTTGTTTCTTTGGCTCTTGGCGACATGTTCTAGCATTTCTTGAAGTAGTTCCACTAAAGTTGTGAACTAAAGAAGATAATTGATGACATAAGTTTACATAAGAGAAAAGAAATAGTTTGGATTAAACGAAAACACAACTTCATAAACATCGTTTATATATAAAAAAAGATCGTTCTAAAAGCAAGTAAAACTAATACATGCTTTACTCTAAGCAAAAACAATTTAAATACAAAAGTCTGACCTAAGGGGAAGTAGATTTTGATGATACAAATGTCTGGCAAAACGGTGAAATACATTTTGATACAATTTCTGATAAAGGTGCCAGCTCTACGAGGAAAGATATTCTGTTAAAAATATCTCTCCTAAAGGGAAACATTTTGATAAAAACATCTGCTGTATCCGAAAACAGATTTTGACACAAACGTCTGCCTGAGAGCAAACACATTTTGTTACACGTATACATATAGATATATATATATCCAAAGAGAAAAACAGAAATATACAGACACGTCTTTCCTAAATCTAGGATATGATACACATGTATTTGGAATTTGATAATCAATTTTACTGCATATGGCTATTCCAGATAAAAACAAATGCTAGTACAGATATTTCTTTTAAATAAGAAATATACATTGGTTCATACGTTTATTGAAAGTGAAAAATCGATTATGATTTTCGGTCTAAGAGTGTATATGGTCTACTGCATATGTTCTTTTGATTGGAAACTGAATTTTGATACACAAGACTACGTCAAGAGATAACAGAATTTTCAAATATAAGAATTTACTTTTTATTTTGAAACTGTATAAGCAAAATATTTGTTTTATGTTTTAAGATTTTTTAAAACAATCAGAGTGCTTTCTTATAATAACAATTCAATTATTTTGTTGTCATCATCTTTGAATACTTAAATTGTTTACTTTAGTTGAAATGGTGGTATACATTTTTTTTTAGAGCAATGCTAAACAAAGGGCTATTTGCCGGGGAATTTGAATGAGTTAATAATGGTTATGTTACGACAATCTGTCAAATACGACATATTTTGATCTGAGACATAGCATTAAATTTACATCACATGGCTTTGATTATAAAATTTCATCGAATTGATACAGTTTTGCACTTAGCCAATATCTAAAAAGTTATATTATATTAAGAAGCTCAAACGTTCCAGATCGTTGCTATCAATAGATTCAACATTACAAAACATTTTAAGTTGCTAATCTATTAGTTATTGAAAGTATATTTTAAATTTTAATTTCTTATTGTGACTAGTAAGTATGACACAGAGGACCTGATATGCTTTATGCATACAATAAACGTTTCTTTCACGACAAATCAGTTGGATTAGATACGTGGAATCGCTATCTTCCAAAGCGATAAAATGTCCTGACTAAGTAGCATATAGCATGCAATGACTGGTAATGTAAGTAGTATGCTACCCGGGCCAAATAGTTTGGCTAAATTTTAATTCATGAAGTTGTACGTAATAGTAGCTAATCTTCCTACTGTACAATATAGCTATGTCCCAGAGAGTGTGGGAACTGATATGTTATGTAAGCCTAACAAATATCCTGATTGGTTATAGTGTTACCATCCTAGGACAGGTGAACTGGTCTGTAAATCTAATCATGGTCTCTGACTGTACAGCGTGATTATGTTTTGTAGATGTGTAGTCGACATATTTAGCTAGTGCCGTTAATGGTTTATATACTTATTTTGAGACAAGTAACTGTGTGCTTAGCCAGTTTTCCTCAACCAGTGAATCCATATAGAAGTAAAGCTAATCTGTATATGTATAGACAATGTGGCCAATAAACTCAGCTAATGATATTTACTGTGTGCTTAGCCAGTTTTCCTCAACCAGTGAATCCATATAGAAGTAAAGCTAATCGGTATATGTATAGACAGTGTGGCCAATAAACTCAGCTAATGATATTTACTGTGTGCTTAGCCAGTTTTCCTCAGACAGTGAAACCATATAGAAGTAAAGCTAATCGGTATATGTATAGACAGTGTGGCCAATAAACTCAGCTAATGATATTTACTGTGTGCTAAGCCAGTTTTACTCAGACAGTGAAACTATATAGAAGTAAAGCTAATCGGTATATGTATAGACAGTGTGGCCAATAAACTCAGCTAATGATATTTACTGTGTGCTTAGCCAGTTTTACTCAGCCAGTGAAACCATATAGAAGTAAAGCTAATCGGTATATGAATAGACAGTGTGGCCAATAAACTCAGCTAATGATATTTACTGTGTGCTTAGCCAGTTTTACTCAGACAGTGAAACCGTATAGAAGTAAAG